GTCAGGTTAAATACAGCATTCACCACAATTATAATTATTTTTTCCTATAACTATTTATTGTCTGTGGGTTTTTTTTGTTTTTGTTTTTGTTTTGTTTTTTTTCATTACTCTTATATTTCACATGACTGGTGTCTCATCTATTAGGGTCACTCCAGCACCTCACAGTGTCTGTAGCACATGGTAGGGACTCAAGACGTAGTTAATGTCATGGCGTGTTTAATTAAGGGACGACTGAATTTTCAAAAATACGTCTTCACAATTTTGAATTTGTTAGAAGCCATATTGATTTCGTATCATCTTAAAGTTAAATGTTGCATAGAATCACATTTTACGGTTTGAGTACCGTAGTGGAGAAATGGAGGCCAAAAATATCGTGTTGGAATACAGATAAGGAAAGAAAGCTGGCCTGTGTTTGATGGAATAATGAGAACTGAGCTGAGAATGGGCCAGCTTTTCCAGTGACTACTTGTGGTTTTATGATTTCTGTGCAGACCCTCATTGCTATCTTAGCCTACTTCACAATGTAAGTTAACCAATTCACAGTGACTGGACATACTCATTTTTGGCTATATTGCTTTGTCTGCTAAATAGTATTGATGTAGAAGTGGCTTTTTGCCCACATAGTTCCAATTAAGTTGTGTGTTATGGGTGGGAAGAAGGGACGTTTATGGTGCACGCTGAGGCAGCTGGGTGAGATTGCATTACTACTCCAGGCATACTGAGGACTAGTTATTTTTAGCTTTCACCTGAGCAAACATGACAGTTTGTTGACCTGAGTCCATCCAGCCCCTTCTTAAACACACAAAGTCTATTAATCCCTAGAACCACAGACTAAATAAGACCTTCGTTACCAATACCCATTAGTGGATTCGGGTTTGTTCAAAGATTGCAGATAATTTCAATTTCCTCATTTAGCTCTTTTCTCTTTACAGTAAAATCACTTAAAAAATTGAAGGAGTTCAAACTTCCTTTGATTCTAGACACTTTCATAATTCATGCAGTTACAATGTTGGCTTGCAGTTAATGAAAACCCCTTATACAGTAGGCAGCTAAATACTATCTATCAGCTTTGATTTTAGTTCACTTGATAGAATTTTTATGTAAAGAACACCTGGGCGTTCACTTTAGCTGCAGTAGGAAGTTGTCCTGAGCTGTACAGATATTACTGGGGAAACACTAACTGTCCGTGTTTGAATATCAGAGTGCCTGTTTACTTTTTTCAAATAATGCATTTTTTTCCTTGTGAGTGTTATTAGAAAAATTGAAAATGTTGAGTTATCTTCAGGTTTTAAAATTATGCCAAAAGTTTCTGAGACTAGAGGACTAATTTATTCAAGTAAATAAAAATATTTGTCATTCTCACAGTCTATGCTTAAGATGTAATTGAGGCTTCTCCAAGCTCACTGCCATGATCTCTATGAAAATATTAGTATTTCTGGGATATTTTTCTTTATGGACAAAACACTAGACTAACGAAAGAATGAAAATAATGCAGACTGTTACAGGCAGGCGTTCGTGGTGGCCATTACAAACACAGCCTCTGTACCCAAGGGTTCAGCGCCTCTGTTGTTCAGTGTGGAATGTGGTTTTGGAGCTTAGCTGAGGAACTCAGCTGGTTATTTTTCATTTTTGTCTGAGGAGTGAGAGAGACTTGTTTTTCAAAAGGGGAAAAACTAAAGACATGAAAAAAAAGTTAGGGTCATTTTGAAAGAATAGAAGTTTTTAAATGTCGTAACTATTTTCTGCAACAAATAGTCGGTTTGAGTATGCTAACCAAAAATAGAATTCGTGACTTTTGTCTCACTGTTTATTTCTCTGACCACATTAAAGGGGGTTCAGTTAAATCTGCCATTTGGTCTTTCTAATGTCAGGGGGCTATTTGGCTGAGTCAGGATAACCAAAGTCTGATTGACTCATATTGCTAATAATAAACCAGATGGCTGAGTTTAAGTGGATTAGTGTATAAAATCATCGTGGTACAGTTTTGAGTTTTAACAAAAAGCTTCCCCAGCAGGGGTTAGTGGTGACTGTGTGTTGCAGTGGTCAGCAAGCACACTACATCGAAGGACTTTTCAGCTTTAGTTTGGTCGTGCTGTTTTCCTATACGATTGAACTGCCATTAACCTACCTTTCCACAAAGGTAACATTTTACTACTCAAAATTTATCATTAGAATAGATATGTAGGGTTAGAAAAATTGAGCATGAGAAGCAGAATAGCAATGTACACACTTTTGCCTCTTATATGACTTTCCCTTGCTTTAGGTACTTGATTGATTATTTTCTGTGTTTTCCTGCCTCCTTCCCTCCTGTCTTCCTTTCCTCCCTCCCTTCTTTCTTCTCTTCTTCCCTTCCTTTTTTTCCTTTTTTGATTTTTTAAATTTATTTTTGATACAGAGTCTTGCTGTGTAGCTCATTCTAGCTTCAAACTCTTAAGTAGCCAAGGCTGGCCTCGAACAAATGATCCTCTGGTCTCAGCCTCCTGGGTGCTGGAATTACAGGTGTGCACATCTTGACCAGCAGTTGTTGTCTGAGTTCTATTAAATAAGAGGCCATTTCTGCTAGGAAAAGGTCTACAAACATAGTACATCAAGTATCAGATGGCCAGAACTAGATATTTAAACCACACACAGAAGTCATGCTTTGTTGTTTTTCTTTCACTCTTAACTTTCAGAGAAAAGTTTTATGGATGTATTTTCAAGTGATGTACTAGCAGGACCATTTGAAGAAAACAATGAAAGTTCTCAAAGAAATCTGGAAACTCAAGATAATGTCAAAGTATGTGTTGTTTACATGGGGAAGCTAACTGTGGAGAGAAGATACTGATTCTGTCCACATTAATTTATAGATTTAATGTAAACCACAGGAGAAATCTCAGCAAGAAGATGTAAATTTGAAATGGATTAGCAGAGACTGTTACTCTATCAGATATTGGATTCAAAAGTTTTTGGCCAGGTGTGGTGACACATACCTTTAATCCCTATAGAGTAGAAAAAAACAAACAAAAATACCAGGCTGGCCCACTACGTGGAAAAGAGCATACCTCGAATTATACCTTATGCCAAAGCAAATTCCATATGGGTCAACTACTTAAATATTTTAAAAACCCAAATTGTAAAAAGTGACTAGAAATCAATATAGGCCAGTCTCTAAGTGCAAAACCACAAACAAAAGAAAAAACACAAAGTAAAACAGATCCTATGTAAAATCTGGAATTTTTCTATATTAAAGTATGTTATAAACAAATTTAGATCGCAGATGGAGAAGTTAGGAGAAATTAGAAAAAAAAATAGAATTTTCCTATTTGTATAGTGCTGGGGATCAAACCCAGGGCCTTGCACATGGCAAGCAAGTGCTCTGCCAACGAGCCACACCCCCACCCCAGAATAATTCTTATTTCTGACAACTTTCACAAACTGATGGAGTAGTTTATTTTGGGATAGCATGTGACTGATTATTTTGCAACCACCAATTGAAAAATTTCAGTTATGGAAAATATAATAATGAATATTAATTTTATAACTTTTTGTGGGCTCAAAAATTGTTCTGGGTGCTTTTCATATGTTAAATTGTTTAATGTATGCAGTGACTTGAAGAGATAGATACCATCATGATTGTCATTTAAGAGATGGCAAAATTAACAGGATATGGTGGTGCATATCTATTTTCTGAGCTACTCAGAAGGCTGGAGCAAGAGAATTGAGCCCAGGAACTCAAGGCCAACCTGAGCAATGTAGCAAAACCCCATCTATGTAAAACACCACGAGCTCAGAATGGAGTCTAAAAACCAAAACATAATTAAGGGCCCGGTATGGTGTTGAATGCCTGTGATCCCAGTAGTCAGGAGACTGAGGCAGGTAGATTGAGAGTTTGCTGCCAGTTTGGCTTAAATAGTGATACCCTGTTTCAACAAAAACAACAACAAAAAATCGCCCAAAACAGAACTAATACATAGATAGGCTGACTAATTTGCCCACAACTTTCCTATGTGGAGTTAGTGATGACAGAAATAGAAATGGGAGCCAGGATTAGACACCAGACAGGTTGACTGCAGAGTTGGGGTTAGTTGCTACATGCTACCCTGCTTCTCCAAGTGAACCAAAAGACAAGGCTCCACAGCTGTGTATGGTATGACTTTATTTTATGGTATATAATTATATTAAGGTTATATAATTTAATCATAGTATAAATTTTTATCTGATTACAAACTCAATAAAGACATAATATTTGGATATTTTTCTAATGGTAGTTACTTTCCTCTGGTAGGATTTTAGGTAAATGTTTTCAACTTAAAATTTCTACACTTTGCAAATTTTCTTTTATAATCATGTAACTCTTTTAGAATCACAAAATAGTATTTTTAATATTAGATATTTCACATTTGATTTGTTCTCTTGATATTCGTGGATTATATTTTAGTACAACTTTGAAGTGTCAATGTTTGTATTCCCATCCTCTGACAGGTACCATACTAAGTGGAGTCCTGAGGTCAATTGAGTTCAGTTCAGTGTTGTGGACTCTTAGAGCTAGGAGGAGTCTTACAAGCCAACCATCTTGCTTCTCAGAAACTAGTATAGACGTAACTGACTTATAACCAGGATTGACTGACAGTAAGTTGTCTAACCCAGCTTCCAACCCAGTCTTCTGATTTCAGACACTGGCGTATGAAATGCCAAAGTCCCCCAGACTCAGGCAGGTGAGATGTTGGAGTACAGTAGATTTTTATAACATAGGTTTGGAATGAGGAAGTAACAGAACTAAACTGATTACAAATGTAAGTGATGAAAACACAATGAGAAGGCTTTCAGGGATATTTTCATGACTGCTTTGGAGATCACAGAGGATCCTCACTTGGATTTGCAAGATTCTTAGGAATTATTGATCGCCCGCTGTTGAAGGCAATACACAAACTGGAGAGAAGACAGTAGTAGAAGGAACACTAACTAGAAGTGACCACTTCAGTATATTTCTTTTTCTAAAACAGAAACCATTCTCTTTTCAGCTCCAGGGCCCACAACAGCAGTATCCTACTTGTCAGTGAAATGTGTGGATACCCGTAAGAACCATCACAAGACAAAATGGCTAATGCCTTGGGGACCCAATCACTGTGACAAGATCCGAGACATCGAGGAAGCAATCCCAAGGGAAATCGAAGCCAATGACATTGTGTTTTCTGTCCACATTCCCCTCCCCCCCATGGAGATGAGTCCTTGGTTCCAGTTCATGTTGTTTATCCTGCAGCTGGACATCGCCTTCAAGTTGAACAACCAAATCAGTAAGTGTACCCTCCTCTCTCCCTCACTACCTCTGGGAATTTCCCTCATAACAGTAAAAATGATTCACTTTCTGAGGATTCCACCTATATTAACCCATTTAATCTTCCCAGAAATACCTAGGGGTAGATCTTAGCATTATTACATTTTACAGATAGATCACTTGCCTGAGATCAGAAGATGAGAGAGTGGCTGACAGGTGCCTTTGCCACCAAGTGAGTGTCAGGAAAGAGTAGGGTGACTTGGGGCTTTGGAAAGGTCTCTTATTTTTAAGTGTGTTTTTCCCAATAGGCTTTGAGCCAAGCTGTGGCCTTAGGAAAAAAGAATCCTTATCAAAATGGGGATGCCAGCTCACAAGCAACCCATTTTCCCACTAAACCAGGTTATTTATTTTTTTTTAGCCTACTAAGTTCCAGTTCAATTCTCTAAGGGCACATGTAAATATTTTTGTGGGGAAGAGAATATAAGGTGATTTCTAAGAGGCAGAGACACAAGAGACACAAGAGACACTCTGGGGAATCTTGGGTTGAGAAAGAAGAAAGTATTTTTTACTAAAATAGGATCAAATAGATATGCTAACAAGTTATTGTGCTATGTTATTTTTTAGAATGCAGTCTTTTTCTCATTCATTCCATCACTTATGATTTTAAACTGTGTGAGTGCTTGTGGCCAAGCACTGCCCTGATAGCTGGAAGAGCAGGCACAGAAGGAGACAGTTGTCCTTCAGAGGACATTTATCCTTATGGTCAAGTGGAAATAACAGACAAATAACCATGCTGGGTGCTGGCACCAAGGTATGCACAGGAGGTTTTGGCACAGGCAAAGGGTTTACTGTGGGAGGAGGCCAGAGTGTGCTGGAAGGTAAGTAGGTGCATGAGGTGGGTTATAGAGAGGTGAGCACACAGACCCTTGAACTTGAGGTGAGTGTGAGAGAAAAGCTTGGCAAAAAAGTTGGAGGTGAGTGTGCAAGCAAATGGAAGAGCATTGTAGTCAGAAGGAGTAACTGACATGAAGCTCAGATTTGCACAATAGCCTATAGCATTCAAGGGGTGTTTACCATGGCCCCAATCTCTTGCCTGTTGACATCCTCATTCATTGGTTACACAATAAATTTATTTATCCATTCATTCAAATCTTGTTAAGTCCCACCAATATATTAAGAATTAGGTTCCAAGGATATTAGATTGGATATATAAGACATGGTTCTTACATGAGATTGGCAGGGGAATTGCCTGGAAAATGGATACTTAAAGCTACCAATGATCAGGAATCCTATAAGTGCTTTTAATAAGAGGAATATCTAATCCAACATATGACCTTTGGGAAGGAAAGAGTTTGCCATGAAATGAGTTTGAACCTATATTACCAATCTTGAGGTTTAGGTTTTAGCATTCCCAAGACCCAAGAATGTAGTCAGAAAAGGACAAAGACAGTAAGAGGAGGCATAGGACGATGAACTTGGTAGATTGCCTGATTTGTCTGTATTGGAGCGAAAAGTTCAAGGATACAGGGTTCTCTTATCTGGGCTGGCTGTTTGTGGTTTATTTTAGGTATAGTCTCTCTTTGACAGAGTCCTACTTCCTAGCTCCAAGTATAAAGGAAAAGATATGCTCTGTAATAATTTTAATAATGGCTGTATTCATGCTGTAATCACCCCAAAACTTAGTTGCTTAAATCAATAAACATTTATTATCTCTCCATTTCTGTGGACCAGGAGTCTCTGGCTCCACCTTCCTCTTGAGGCTGCAGTGAAGCTGTTGGCCAGGTCCACAGTCTCAACAGGCATGAAGGCTCTGTTGGACATCAGAGATCTGCTTCCAAGCTCATTCATGTGGCTGTTGGCAGGCTTCCATCTCTTCTATGTGGGCCTCTTTATGGCTGCCTGATAGGATGGCTGCTGTCTTCCTTCAGGGGTAGTTATCCAAGAGAAAGTATGAGAAACATATGCCAAGAGAGGCCATTCAAACTTGGAAGTGACATTCCATCACTTTTTTTTCTGCTGTGTTCTGTTGGTTACAGGTGAACCTGTAAGTCCAACCCATACTCGAGGAGATTACCTAAGGGCATGAACTCCAGGACACCGGATCATTGAAGACCATCTTTGAGTCTGGCTACTGTGAATGTACTTTTCAAAGGAGCCAGAGTTTCATTTAAATATTTCCCTATTTATGTCCAGGTTAGAAAGTGGGGTAGTAGAATATCCAAGAGAATGAGCCTTGGGGTCCTACAGAGATAGTTTTAACAACCTGCTCCACTTCTTAAAAGCTCTGCCATATTAAGCAAGTTGCAGACCGTCTTTGAGCCACAATTTCCTCATCTGTTAAGCATGGATAATAATTCCTCATTAACTAAACCACTCTAAGTCAATTAGTTCGTGTACTACCCTTAGGACAAGTATTATTTAAAAATTAAAAAATAAAAATAAAAGTAGCTGCTAATATGCTTTCAGTCTTATTCCTGAAAGTCAGCCCTTTTTCTAATTCTTATTTCTATAACTTGGTTAGTGGAATTAGTCTTTGTAAAAGAAGCATGGCTTTAATTTTATCATTCCCTTGTATAAAACATCTTTGATGACTAAGAAATAAGGCTTAGCATTCAGAGTCCTCTTCATTCTGGCCCAAGGTAGCATAGTAGCCTTATTTCTCACAGCTGAGCTGAGCTGACATAGGGATAACTTCCCACTCTCCAGATGTGCAGAGATGTCTCCTTCTGTACCTTTGCTTGTATTACAGTGATCCTACCTGCTTCTTCTTTTTTCCTTTTTTCCCAATGCTGAGAGTTGAACCCAGGGTCTCTACTGCTGAGCCCTCAGCCCTCACTATTTTGTTTTGTTTTTTAAAATCCTCTTTCCCATAGACAGAGGGCTTATGGAGAACCTATTCATCCTTCCAGACACCCCAATTGTCACATGTCTCTGGAGCCTTCCCAGACATGTATTTCCTTCCTGCTTTCTCTCCTGGATATAATTTATCCTCCTTGACTCGCTTTCACTATTGGCCTTGTGATGTCTACTTTACCAGCCTTGCAGGCTGCACAGTTGAATTATTTTCTCTGATTTCTAGATTGTAGGCACCCATTGGGCAGCGTGTTATTCACGGTTTTGTGTGGATAAAAATATTTCTTGAATTGTGTCCCAAAAGGAACATGAAGTGACTGATTGAGATGTTTGTCTTTTCTCACTGCAAAATAACATTTTGTTGTTTAAGTACATTTAGGTAACACTTCAGTCAATAACCAATAACACTAAGATTAATTCTGGTGCTTTTGTTTTTTTTTCCTGACAGTACTGGGGTTTGAACTCAGGGCCTCATGCTTGCTAGGCAAGCACTCTACCATTTGAGTCCCACCAGCCTGACACTCACACTAATTCTGGTCCTGATGTTCGTGTTTTGCTTGTATTGATAAGTTGTGGTTCAGATGTTCAGAGCGGACTGTAAGGTAATGAGTTTCTGGTTTCTGGAAGTCTGTTGACACAGGCTGTTGTTCAGAGTGTAGTTTAACACTTGGGCAGGTAGTTTGCAGTATGGCTCTGTTTTTGTGCAGAAAATCCTGGGTCATTTTGTCACTCTGCCTTTTGCATTGCTGAAAGTGACTGGCCTAAAATTCAGGTTTAGAACTTGGCATCAAAATTATTTAGTAAATAATTCAGAGCCGTGGTGAGCTCATGTGAAATTTTAGAAGTTGATGACACATTTCTAAAATTTTATTTCACCACCAAATGTAGAAAAATAATTTTGCACATGTTTAGTGAATGTTTTGTGTTTTAGAGAAGCATTCCTGACATGTGACGTAGTACACACCTTTAGCTTCTTCACTTTTACGTTCCAAATGATGTTTTATGTTCATTAGAAGTGGATTGAATATTTCAGAATTCTCCAAACTCATTTGAGATGTAAAATGATTTTTTTTTTTTTTTGATGGGACTGGGGTTTAAACTCAGGACTTCCTGCTTGTCAAGCAGGCTCTCTTCTAGTTGAGCCACGACTCCCGTTCTTTTTGCTCTTATTTTGGAGCTAGAGTCTCTTTTTGCCCAGGATAGCCTGGATCTGGGTCCTCCTATTTTATACTTCCCACTGTAGCAGGGATGGCAATGCACACCACCACACCCAGCTTTTTTTCATTGAGATGGGGTCTCACAAACTTTTTTGCCCAGGTTGGCAAAGAACACGATCTTCCCAATCCCAGCCTCACAAGTAGCTAGGATTACAGGAATAAGCTCCTGTTTCTTGTGTTAAAAATCACCCTTAATTTTCTTGTAATATGAGGGCCTGCACTTAATAAAATCATACTAAAAGTTAACAAACTATACAACTATCAGTTCCTTCAATAAATGTATAAAAATTAACTGAGACCATAGACACACCAAGAAAAACAGATCAGAATATACTCTCAGCAGTAGCAGTGGTTGACTGGCAGCAGCTGACTTTAGCATGAGAATTTACATGTTAGGTCTGTGGGATACTGTTTTCCTTGAATTTATCCTCTTTTTGTTTGTTTATATACACTGAGAAGGCATTGGTTAAAGAGTAACATTTCCTTTATTCGTTGATAGGTGTATGTATAAAATGCAGATATTTTGTTTATAATAATACGTGCCAAGCACAACAACCTCGGTTTTTCAGATTCTAGTGTTAACAGTCCATGAGAAGCCAAGTATGGTGGTGCATGCCTTTAATCCCAGCTACTTGGGAAGCAGAGGCAGGAGGATCACAAGTTCAAGGACAGCCCAGGCATAGTTAGCAAGACTGTCTCAAAAACAAAATAGAAACAAAAATGTTGGGATGTGGCTTAAGTGGCAGAGTGCTTGTCTAACATATGTGAGGTCCTGGGTTCACTCCCCAGTACAGGGGGAATAAAAGTACCTAATACTGTCTACATTTTATATATATATTTTTTATCATTACTTTGAATTCCTTCCTGACAGCACTAAATTGGACACAATAAAAAAGGTTGGACATATAAGTAAACAAGCTCTTATATGTGAAGCCAGGCATGGTGGCTC